TTAATACCACTACTGTCAGTTGTCTGCACTTCAAACACATGCTGAATTTTTCAGCTTTTCAGTAAAGTGCCATTGAATATCTCTTACTGTACTGTCGACAACAGTATTACTCGCAGAGCCAGGATTTAGTGTAATTTTGTCACTCAATGTACGTGTTGCACCTTTCCATTGGTTTCCTTGCATTTTGTCTCCTTGTTTGCACGAGCTGCCTCCAAATTAGCTTATCAGATAGAGCTTTTGCATTTTGATTGGTCTTAGATCTTACTTTGGATATATGATCTTGAATTGCATGGTGGGGCGTTTTTCCTTCATGGCATGTCGAAGGTAGCGTTGGCATACGTTGCTTAAGGAGGGTTGACCTCAGTACAATTTTTATATGATCATAGGACGAAATTTCAAACAACTGTTCTTTATATTTCAAGTTTCGGTCAATAGGCAACGATGAATCAATGAATTACATGCCACGCCAAAGTGTGATGAAGCATTTCTGCCCAGCCACTATGGTAGGCGTCAAATCCTGATATGAACTGTAAGACACCTGGCGAGTGAAGCAATTTCAGTCAGGGTTAACGAGATTGTTAACACTGAAAGGAAAATCTGTCTATAAGCATACTCTGACTAAGAAACAAGACAGAAATTGTATCATCAAATTAATACCAGAAGAAAGCGTTTCGAATGTTTTCATCAATAAATGTGATGCGTCATTGGTTCTAAACACAAGCAATAGACGTGTGTCAGAGGTTTCAGTCAAGCAACATTGGCCGTCCTCATTATTCGCCCTGAAAATGATCATTACAGCAGTTCTAAAAAAGACATTAGCATCATCCTTCTACTCCCTGTGTCTAGAAGCACTGAAGCATTACGTTTATTGCAAAATAAAAGGCAAAATCAGAGTAACTTTTAGAAATGTTTTCGTCACTTCGTCCATTCAATTAATCGAGAACCATGGCTACTTGAACTAGCCCAGATTATGAACCGGAAAACACTGAACACGTAATATAAAGAAATGAATATGCTCACGCCATTTACATTCCAATGCCGGAAGAGACATGATGAAAATGAAGCCGAAACTGTGCATCGACCCATTGCTTCTTTGATTAGGATCGAAGGTTCGTGCTAATATATTTTATCATGCTTCAAAATATATTTTTTCTTCTAATATGCCATTAAGGAACAGATTTTTAATCAGAGTAAAACCTCTGCCGACGGCATACACGATCTGTTCACGTCCTTTGACCGACCGCCTACAAGGGACATCTAAGCCATACGTTGCTCAAAAAAGCTTTTGAAGAAGGGGAATATATTCATGACCTTTTTTTCTGAATCGCCTGATTGTCTTTGCGTAATGACTTATGTTCTTATTTCGCATAACATCTGATGTACCTTGCGCTACTCTGTCTGGTGGCATACAACGAGTAGGCAGTTTTGCTGTCTGGTACTCGATCATTAAACATTTTGCACTGATTTACGTGACTTCAATGACAAATACTGCTGATCTAACATCAGTTAAAATATCCCGCCTGACCTGATCTAGCAAATGCAACAGCGGCAACTAACGATCGCTTGCAATGATCATAAGGCACACGTTATAAGGAAATTTATGACACAGACCAAGGTGACAGTTAAAACATAACAATATGATAAACATATTCAAGCATTTTGTGTTTAATAAGTACCTTATACTCAAGCGGTTTTACGAGAGACATGGGTCGTTTAATTTGATCTTCATGTTTTTATCGCCGCTCCAGATACAAGTCTTTCATTTTCTTTAGAAATATAATGCAGATCAATTTCGTTTAGCGCAAAATTAATGAACCAAAACTAATTTTAGTTAGTTTACATTTATTACCTGAACGCCGATTGAAGAATTTCCATATCAGTGAAGGCACGTAGAACAATGACGCTTCAACAGCTAAAATGAACGGTACCCACTGATAATAGCCGACGTGAGAGACACTGACTCGCTGTCTGTCTGATGGTATCGGTTCTTTCATCGGTATCCAAAACGTGTTCTGTACGAAGCAGTAATTTTCAGCGTATTGCTCCCACGAACTCGTGAACTGGGGAGGTACCCAGCATTGAATAGGCTGCCCGACATACTGTTTCGCCGTGATGGTGATAGACAGAAAGAGGATAATTAGGCATGTGTAATAATAATTCAGGCGATCGATTGCATCGTCATCGTTTCGAGGCTTAAGCGAATTAAAGCAAGAGCTGAGAAAATTCATGTTTCTATCAACCACTACCCAACTTGACTCCTTGACTGTGACCGCCCGAGACCGAGGACCTGCATTCAGCGTGACTGTGCACTGGATCCAAATTCTGGTTTTTTAACAAATGCCGTTCAAATGTGTTTGCTTTAGCAGCCATTCGTTGGCTGAAGAATGTTTGTAAACAGAGAAGCGGAATAGAACGCAGACGGCAAACAGCACTAACCCGAAGATTGATAAGTATCAAACATCAACGAGCGGCCCTGTGGTCGAATACCGGTAAACGAGCACGACAAGCCACCATCGAATCGTTTTAAATTATAAACGCTTATTTTCAGTGCAAAAGTTGCATGTAAATCGTCAATGTATTTTCTGAGTGATCATTCAACTGGGGAACAAATCGATAGCAATTCATTGAACATGGTAAGTAACCGTTTCTTCAAAGCGGCAGATCCACAACAACAAACTAAAGAGTGGCAATTGAAAAATTAATGATTAGCAGCATGCCGTCAAAACTGTAGTTCAGTTTGAAGCGGATATAAGTCCTTTGGTATTGCACCGACATAAAATTGCGGTAGCGGTAGATTAAAGTCAGCATCATTTATCTGTGAGCCAGACGGAGTCACGTGCTCATCTAGTTAATAACTAGAAACTGCGGATAAGCGACCTCACATCTCAGCATAGATGCATGACGATCTAGTAAACGTGGCTGCGTGGTTTTTGCTTTTTATCTACAAACACCCATGCACTAAAACTCCAAGACGGTTCCTTATACTTGTTTCCTTCAAGAGACGATTTTGGAATGTGTGGAACTGCCAAGCAAGCCAGCGGAACCACCGTCGATTCGTTTCTGCTTGAGGAAGTTTCCCATCGGTTGGAAGCAGCAGCAAACTTCTGGCATGCTGTATGGTTAGGAGGTGGTCAAATGAGTATGAATATGTGTCGAGACCAAACTTTATAAAAGTTATTGTAGCCGACCGACAGACTGTCCCACATTATTGATTCTCAGGAATTGACTTTTGCGTCCATTAGCCGATTCTCTACCGCAGTTATCACGCGTTAATGTTTGAGACTTCTCGTTCTTTTGGCTAGTGTTGCTTTCCATCTGCGTTCTACTCTGTTCCTCTGCAAGGGGTCATCTACACTTTCCGGGCTTATAGTATGTGATTTTCAATCGCTACTTACGTTCATGATCACCCCGTTTGCGTTCGAAACTTGCTAGACGGCGTGTAATGTGTCCTTCCTAACGTATTTGCAGGAGAGCAAATACCAACTTTGTGTTTCATGTTGTCCGAGACCATCGATGATTATCAAGCGGCCTTCAAGTTGTCATGAAAGTCAAACAAGTTTTGACAATCTGGTTTTAAACTTTAAGTTTAAATTTGTTTGCTTTAATAATGCAATAAGTTCGTCATGTATTTCATAGATCATCAGTGTTGCATCGTTGGCTTTAGCGCTGAAGTCAATTTAGGCCCCCACGGCAGTGGTTGTTTAGAGAGTCTAATTGTGCGTTGTTAGTAACTGAGTAGTGAAAAAACACGACAAAATGTCTTTTCTAAACACTGGACACAACGCAATAGGTTGTCGATTGAATGATTGATCTATACCGACATTTCCATCCGTTTCATGGTCAGGGTAAACCTAGCAAGAAAGTTCAGTGGTCATTCAGATCGTTTGCGACAGGTAGTTCTGTTGGATCGAAAGGCAAGTTTTCGTTTCCTGCAGCCGGTTAAGTGTATTTTCAACAGGAGGCGTGATAAGACTCATCCAATCACGCAAGGCTCACAGCCTTTGTCATTGTTGATATCATTCATAGGACTGGATGATTGATACCTTCTAGAAGCGCCTGTTCAACCAACCTCTTTAACTTTGTTGGATCCATCTGGCTATTGGGATGCGAAAGTATGTGTCTTTCCTGCTTTGCGTGCTGTACGATCTTGTGGTCTTCTTGCATTGGATCTTCAGTTAGCGGGGGGGGGCTGGGGTAAGGCTTATATCGAATGGTTCCCTTGCCAATCTGGTTCATACTCCTCCACGATCATCCGTCTTCTCCAGCTTGACAGGTGAGCCTTTGAGTGGTGATGCTTCCTGTTTCTTCTTTGTAATGCTTTTAGCTACATGGAAATGATAAATCTATTCTAGAGAGTTATTTTCAGAATTACTTAAAAAAGAGTTAAGTTTTCTTGTAAAATTCATAGCCGATTCAGCGCTGAAATTGAAATAAAATTTTTGAACGGATAGGGTCTTCAATGGTTTGAGACCCAAAGAATTACGCCAATTTGAGTTTTTATATACAATGATGATATTATGTTAATTATTCTATGACCTTTCAATAAAATGTTTTTAATAAGGGAGGATATCATCGAAACTGTTATTTTATAAGCCACCTGTGTAGCAACTGAATTTTGAGTTCATTATTCTACGGTTTATAATGTTATTGACGAATTTAACTTGATGATTGTTGTCATTTCATAATACTAGTTTAGTGAGCCTTATTTAACCTATAAGAAATTAATTGCTGCAAAGTTTAAAAACTCTGTCTACTGGAGTCATAATTTCTGCCTCTTCATTGTTTAGGTGATTCTGCTAAAAGAACTTAGATGTTTGTCGTTATCACTAGGTCTACAAATAACTTTAGTTTAGTACCTAATCTTAAAACGTCGGGAATAGATATGCAGGAACGATTTTCTCTTTCAATAATTAGCTCAACGGTTTGAGGCAAGAGGCGATCTAAAATTTCTTTGGCTTGTTTTATTGCCCTCTGGACAGGCAGCGCAAAAGTCGTCTATATATGTTTTAAAAAACGTTGGGAATAAGTTGGGGTTCCTGCCCCGCGTCGGATTTTCAAGGTGTTCCATCAATCTTTCAGCAATCATTTGGCAATACCCAGCCTGAAACAGGATCTGCACGACCCATTGGGCATTACCTACACAAGTGGCGCTACAAAGAAACCCAGCAAGCAACCCCCTGTCCAATCAGTCCATCACATCGCTAACCAGTACGAATAAAAAAATGTTCAAGAAAGCAATTAGCGCATTACATGCGCTGGAAATCGATTCCCTCGCTTGCTGTATAAATTAGACCTCGATTTATAACCGGTGATGCTATACGCAAGAATAAGTAAAACACGAAGCTGGGCGCCGGTACAACATATAGGTGTACTCGGCCGACACCGTACTGACACCGCGAATGATACCAACAGATGTTCACCATAGTCTAGCCCGACAAACTGTTTAATAAACGTCCTAGGGTTGGGGGCGCATTCTTCTCATGAGCGAATTCACCAGACCATCTTGACATCTCCGCCCTCCTTCCAAACGGAAGCCTGATCACCCTAATAGATCCCGATCAGCCGCAAATGGCACAACTGGTTATTTGAAATTCGCTCTAGGTGTGGCGTCTGCGTTGGTTCTGATCATCCTAAGGTCGTAGACATACGTCTAAAATTGTCATGGTTACAGCAACGTTGTTCTGTCGAAACTCAGTAGCTACCCGATCCTACATATTAACATGTGACGAAGGAAAGCACTAGGCTTACAAAACGGAAATATGGAGCTGCTCTTCTCCTTAGCGCTCAATGAGAAAGCAACACTGATGAAATCAATATAAACTTCGAAGGAGACATTATTCGCTCAGTGAAAAACGTAGCGAAGCTCAGACTCTGGCACAGAATCGGGAACGTTGGAAGCTCTCTCTCTGACGTATCTGCCTCCGCGATTCGAAAGGAGAAGTATCAAGACGAATATGAAGATGATGTACATGATGATGAAAATGAAGATGAAGATGGTGATAAAGATGAAGATCAAAATGCAGCTGGAGTTTGGAAGTGGAAAGGCAAAATACCTCTTATACAGAAAAATTAACCCGATCTTATGGGTTTATTAACATACTTCTTGTTTTTGATATTGCCGCTAAGATATATAATCCGTTTTACTTTTTAGATACCGGACTGATGCGGCGTAAGAACCTTCCCTTTGCTTGTAACGGCCTATGGGCCCATTTAAGTAGGACCAGTCTCAATAGTATTTGAGCACCTGTAGTGCCTGGTTGCACAACCGAGCAAAGGTGTGTTCGTACACACCTGCAAATACGCTACCATCCTTAGGCATATTTATACAGAAAAAATTAACTTTAGTTAAAGGGGACACACTAGCCCTTGGAGTGCAAAGGAACCATAAGATGAAGAAATACTTGCAACACCTTACTGCACCCTCGAAGTGAGTTCATAACGATTCACACATTTTTATAAACCGGAGTAACAGACGGGAGAAGGAACTTTTGTTGCAGCGCAGATCAGGAAGATCGATGAGACGGCAAGAAACAGTGATCTGCGAACCGCGGTCAAAGGAGTTTTGCAGCCGTACGGTAAGCACGGGTCTCGCTTTGTCCTTATGCAGGACGTCAAGAATGTCTCATTCACAAATAAGGGCGAACGCCTCAGCAAACGGCCTGAGCACTTTCAGCAACTGCTAAACAGCTGTTCTCTAGATCCCAGAGCTCCGACCTTTATTGTCTTGCCTACGATAAAGGTCAGAACAAATCTAGCAGCAAAATCAAAAGTCCAAAAGCCATGCATTGCTTCAAGGTGAAGAATCAAATCGCAGCCGGGGGAACAGAAACGTTGTGTAACCATCTCCACGTTTAGATTGGGTTAGGTGGCCAAGTTATCAAATTATCGTGGTACCACACCACTGCCAACTCTCGAGAATCTCTTCCTCTAGATTTTTTTGGAAAGGCTGAGGTAGACAGGTAACTGAAGACGTCGGTAACCGAGAGGTTTGATCTATCAGGT